TGACATAAACACAGCACTGAACATAATGTTAAATGTTGACATAAACACAGCACTGAACATGATGTTAAATGTTGACATAAACACAGCACTGAACATAATGTTAAATGTTAACATAAACACAGCACTGAACATAATGTTAAATGTTAACATGAACACATCACTGAACATTAATGTTAAAATTTGACAGAAGCATAACGCTGAAAACAATGTTAAATGTTAGCAGTAACAAAACACTAAATTTAATACTAATTGTTAGCAGAAACACAAAACTGAGCATAGTCGACAGGAATATAACAAGGAACACATCTTAAACTGTTTTCCTCAGAGTGCCCCCCCCCAGTGGTATGTATGCGGACTTACAACGCTAGAATCCCGGTTTCGATACCCGTGGTGGGCAAAGCACAGGTAGCCCATTGTGTAGTTCTGTGCTTAATTACAAACAATCCTTAGAGTGGCCAAATTTCGTAATTATGTATTGCACATGGAGGTTATAGACACAAAATGGCGTATCTGACTAACAACTCCCCTTGTTATCCGCCATGTTTGATTTCCTTTGGCAACATGTAAACAGTTGCAGGTGAACGATTCTGATTAATATCATCCACATATTTTTAAAATTACAGCAAATAGAAAACGAATAAACTGTTTACAGAACGCTTCGTTAGTTTTTGGATATATCGGTTTACAGGTGATTCAAAAAATGTTTATTAAACTTTATTATTATAAAACAGTTTACAGAGGATCTAAATGTATTTATTGACGTAGGTGTGTTTGTGATTACATAAAACAGTTTACAGGAGTATTTAGTGTGTGTTTTTAGAATTTTATTATGTGAAACAGTTTACAGAAGATATTGTGTTTTTTTATAATTTTTTATGTTTGTTTTATAAAACAGTTTACAGAGTAGCTAGGTGTGTAATTATAATTGTTAATGTTTGTTACATTAAACAGTTTACAGAATATCTTGGTGTGTAATTATAATTGTTAATGTTTGTTACATTAAACAGTTTACAGAAGGATCTTGGTGTTTTTTTATAATATTTTATGTTTGTTACATTAAACAGTTTACAGAATATCTTGGTGTTTTTTTATAATATTTTATGTTTGTTACATTAAACAGTTTACAGAATATCTTGGTATTTTTTTTATAATTTTCTATATTTGTTACATTAAACAGTTTACAGAAGATCTTGGTGTTTTTTTACAATATTGTTTGTTAAACAGTTTACAGAAGATATTGGTGTTTTTTTACAACATTTTATGTTTGTTACATTAAACAGTTTACAGAAGATATTGGTGTTTTTTACAATATTTTATGTTTGTTACATTAAACAGTTTACAGAAGATATTGGTGTTTTTTACAACATTTTATGTTTGTTACATTAAACAGTTTACAGAAGATCTTGGTGTGCTTTATAATTTTGTTATATTTGTCATTATGAATGAAAGTAATACTAAATGGATGTATTTTTTAAACTTTCTTATGTTTGTTAAAAAGGATATAAGTGTGTTTGTCAAACTTTGTTATGTTGGAGAAATGAAAAGGTTTACAGATGAACAAGTTGTGGTTTAATGTGTTTAGTCGAAAACAGTAATATCTCAATTTTTTTCTTATAGGGTTAAAAATAAGCAGAGACAACTCTATTGTACAAACAAGCGCTGACAAACCGTATACAGGAAACAGTCTCGACGAAAATGAGTATATTCTGACACTCATTAACATAACAAACTGGACAACAGACCACCAGTGCTGTTGGTATCCTGTCAACTACTCCAACAATGAGACTTCGACCCCAAATGTGAGCGATTCTGCAGATCCACAAATTCTATGGGCTATCTTCATTTCCACTCTTCTGTCAGTTTTAATTCTAGCCACTGTTATTGGCAACGTTTTGGTTATTACTGCCATTCTAATGGAAAAAAATCTTCACACTGTAGGCAACTATCTCGTGCTATCCTTAGCCCTAACTGATTTGACAGTAGCCTGTCTCGTTATGCCGCTAGGTGTCGTATATGAGGTTAAACAAGAATGGATATTTGGTCTCCTTTTGTGTGACATATGGACATCGTGTGATGTTTTATGTTGTACAGCTTCCATACTCCACTTATTGGCCATAGCTGTTGACCGTTATTGGGCTGTGACGAATGTGGATTATATCCACAGAAGAAGCGTCCGCCATATTGCAGTCATGATCGTGCTCGTTTGGACCGTTTCTGGTATTGTGTCGCTTGGTCCTGTTCTAGGTTGGAAAGATCCCGAGTACGAAGAACGTGTACAAACTTACAAAATATGCCTGGTAAGTCAAGACATAGGTTACCAGATATTTGCCACGTTTGCCTCCTTCTACATTCCATTAGTACTAGTCCTGTGTCTCTACTGGCGTATATTCCAAGAAGCTCGGAAGAGGATTCGGCGAAAGAGTGGCTATCGTTCATTCCAGGGGCCTGCATTTCCACCGCCAGTTTCTTCTATGACAGAAATGACAACTTTCATGGCGCACTCGTCAAGCAATCCAAGCTTTGAGATAGTGGCGACATCTACTAATGGATATAAGAAAACTCATAACAATTCCTCTATAATTCACAATCGTGAGCACAGAAAGAAGAGGAAGTATCCAAAAGACTCAGTAGCAGAGTCCACAAGAGAAAGAAGAGCAGCCAAGACACTGGCAATCATTACTGGAGTGTTTGTCATATGTTGGTTGCCATTTTTTGTCACAGTACTTATCTTGCCAATATGCAGTGATTGTGATATCCCTGTGTATTTGTTTAGTCTTGTCGTATGGGTCGGGTATTCCAATTCCATGTTAAACCCTATCATCTACACCGTGTTTAGCCCTGACTTCAGGTGTGCCTTTAGACGCATGGTGTTTAATTCGAAGAAATGATTCAGATTCCTTCATTGTATTTTTTTTTCCTGGTCCTCTCTTTGTGAATTAACCTTAATTTTATATCTTTATTTATAACAGAGATATTAAATAGCTTGCTTTGTGTACATTCCAAATTGAATAGAGAAATAAAGTTATTAAATCAATCTTCCTATTTGTCAGCATATACTTTAGATGTTTTAGGGAACGTTTCTTAATTATCAATCGATTCTACTCATTTATGGCAAACTGCTGATAAAATATTTAAAAATAAACGATTTAACTCAAACCAAATTAATATCAGGTGAATTCAAACGCCACCTAGTAGTGATTGTAGTCGTCAAAGTGGAAAATTATTAAAATGTTCACTCTGGTTTGTTTTTTGAATTTCGCGCAAAGCTACACGAGGGCTATCTGCGCTAGCCGTCCCTAATTTAGCAGGGTAAGACTAGAGGGAAGGCAGCTGGTCATCACCACCCACCGCCAACTCTTGGGCTACTCTTTTACCAACGAATAATTGGATTGACCGTCACATTATAACGCCCCCACGGTGTGACGGGGATTCGAACCCGCGACCCTCAGATTGCGAGTCGAGTGCCTTAACCACCTGGCCATGCCGGGCCACACTCTAGTTAAGGAAGCAAAGCCAACTGATAAAAATCGAATTAAAATATGCCCGAAACAGGTTGAGACATCCTTTCCAGAATGACATCCATAGACATGGCATTGAATACGTAAGGTGCTGGAAGGTGTTCTGGGGAATTTTTTTACCATTAAGTCATCAATATTATATGCAATTTATGAAGAGGGGTAGTTGGACGATCGTGATTGACAATGTGTTTTTCTAGTCCATCCACAGATGCACAACTGAGATCTGTGGATTGCGGTGGCCTTTGGAGATGCCTGAAGTTTCCACCATGTCCCTCAAACTATGCACTCACAATTTAGGCACGGTAGATAAAAAATATTGTGGCCTTAGAAGTAACTGTCCCATCAAAGTTCCCGTGTATAATAATAAACAAACGGAGTTTCTGGTTACGTTGTTATAATCTATGATTAGAAATAAATATAATACAATAATATTCAGTTTTTGTCTGTCCTGAAATTGCGCGCGCACTTCAGTTCAACGGATATAAACACTAATTTGATCTCAAAAGTTTCGCGGGACTCTGCCAGTATTTTATAAAGATCACTTTTAACGTTCCTCAATAAATAAAAACAACTCAATCTTAACAATGGAGTTTATTTGCCAGTTTTGATACAGAGTCCATTTATACAACATACTGCTAGATGAGATCATAAATTTATACAGTATCAAAATGACAGTAATGAAAGGAGATTTTCCAACCATGTGTTTCAAACAGTTGTGAGTTCTGGCACCAGGGAATCATTTTTTTTTAATTTTATTTTTTTTTGACAGTGATATTTATGACTTAGTTGACAGCGTTGCTGTGAGATACAGATTAGTTCCGTCTCTCGCTAATTATGTCACCATAAATAATGTTGGTCAGAAGAATCCCCCCTCTCAGGTTAAACAAGGAGATACGAAGGTAACACTTTTATTGTCTTGAGAGGAGTTGAATATACTGAGAGTTTATTTGTTGTTTTTTTTTAATTATCATAACAATAGACATTCTGATATTAAATTCATTGTTGAATACCAAAATAACCACTAACTTCCATTCTCAGGCCTCATTTTATTTATTAACAAAGGTGGTAAGTTTGAAATGTGAAATATTCCATGAGAAGACTTTCAGAAGAGTTGTATTTTTAACTTTGTTAGTTACAAACCATTGTCTTTAAGAAAAAAACGTAGTTAACATACTTGTACATCGGATGTATAAGTTATTCATTAGATATGAATATTTTCACAAAGAGACAGATAGTACTAAAGAATTTTTAAACGCCACCTAGCTGAAATGTAGCAAAATAATAAAAAAATATTTAGCCCTCTGAACACTGGGAAACAAGCTATTCTGATTAGAAATAAGTTAGGCAGCTATGTCATCGAGCATACCCTCAATTTGAGCTATGTTCTAAGCCTATATACAGATTACAATACTTCTTCAGAAATAAATATCGCATACCAACCTCTAAAACTTCTAACACGGGATATGAATGTCCTTAATACCTTTTTAGGTTATATTGGTTCCGCCACTAGTCTGGCCACAAGAACATGCAAATTTAATATCTACGTCATTCTCGTGCACCGCATGAATGTAATAAACTTAGAAACAGAGGACAATTTAAGGTCTTTGCTAGGGGCAACAGTGAAAAAAAGGGAAGTCCTCTAATTATAGACTCAAACCCAAGTAAAACAAGCAAAAGTGTGATTTGTTTTTAGAGGATCTCCTAAAGGAGACTGCTAACTACCATCAAGTGTAACAGCAGTCTCTAGTAAAACAGACTGCTAACTACCATCAAGTGTAACAGCAGTCTCTACTAAAGGAGACTGCTAACTACCATCAAGTGTAACAGCAGTCTCTAGTAAAGGAGACTGCTAACTACCATCAAGTGTAACACCAGTTTCTACTAAAGACGACTGCTAACTAACATCAAGTGTAACACCAGTCTCTACTAAAGGAAACTGCTAACTGCCATCAGCTGTAACAGCAGTCTCTTATAGAAATCATAATCTCAAACAAACATTTTTTTTGTTAATAATATCATCATCGGTTCTTTGTATCCACAGGTATAATAAGCTAGGGTACTGCATGAACGACACATTAGTGTGACGTAAGAATGTGTGTTCCGTACATTAGTCATTTTTACGTCACACTTTAGGTATTTTAAACTTTTCGAAATGCCCCCCAGTGGCACAGCGGTATGTCTGCGGACTTACAACGCTAGAAACCGGGTTTCGATACCCGTGGTGGGCAGAGCACAGATAGCCCTTGTGTAGCTTTCTGCATAGTTAAAAACAAACAAACTTTTCGAAAAATTCTCGCCACATGGTGGGCTTTTATACGGTTATAATATAAAATTTTAGAGATAGAGTGGGCAACCTTTTGAAGAGCGTTGCGCGAAAATTCTGTGACAAACAAACCACTACCGTCAAGTACAAAATTAAACTTATTGTAAAATTTCGTGTCTAATCCCTTAGGCTTTTATTTACCCGTTTAGAGGAACTGACCTTTGTTTTCTGGTATCTACCATACACTTCCTGCTTTATATTCTAATATTTAGCGTCTTTTGTATTATTATTATTCTATCCACGGCGAATTAATGGTAATCTTGGAGGGCTGATAACGCTAAAATTCGAGGTTCGATCACCGCACATAGAATATTATGTAGCTTTGCGCTGAAACAAACAATCTTCTTACACAAGATTTAAAGTTTTTGTTGTATTTTTAGTAATCCAACACAATATGGACACACGTTCCTTTTTTTTTCTTTTCTTCCATATACCAGCATTAACCGAGAAAGGAAACTCCTTTTATCGTTATGGATACACTGAAAGCTCATGTCGAAAGTGGATTTCAGAGATTCGATTATTTCGGTCACATGTCTTGAGAGAGTGAAACACGAACTTCAGCTGAGCTCCTAACGTGATTACAGCAGCAAAAAACACTCGTAATCTGTCTGAGAGAAAGGTGAGGCTTTAGAATGACTCAAGAATTGTAGCCGCAAAAATCTAAAGTCCAACTTTGGAGAAGAAGAAGAAGAACAAGGTAATCTCTGAAAGAAAAAATCAGACTCAGAAAGTTAAAATCCAATAGTTTATTTGTACAAACTCAGTATTACTTTAGGATTTTCTATGTAGCACACTTCTGTACCGCACAATACATACGCAAATCAACAAGTCATGTGACAATTCCAACCAATGTAAAATCGCGGTAAAACGGAATGTATCAGAACTACATTTTAATATCGTTTGACATTTCGTAGATACTGTGATACCACCGAAAATGGCGGATCGCGTTTGGAATGGGTGTATAAAGTTTGGAGACGGCTTGAATGGAAAATGAAAGAAATTCTATTACAAATGTACGTTTCAACAAACTTTTGCCATGTGTTACCGATAGATTTGTGGACTTACAATGCTAAAATCCGAGATTCGATTCCCTACGGTGGACAGAACGCGGGTAGCTTTGCACTACAACAAACAAACTAAATAATCTATTGTGTCCTACGACTGAAAATGGCTGCAGAAGAGAAGAGAACGCTTTCTAAAAACGTATATATATATATATATATATAT